AATACGATAGAAAATGTTATTATTTGTTTCACTGTAATAAATCGATTTTATGGTTTCATAAATTCTTTTCTGATCGGCTATTCTTTCATATAAAATTATACGAAGTATTTAAAACAGGTATGTAAAATATTATTGTGGCAAATCTTTTTATTTGAAAAGTGATACTTTGACATATGTAACTATTCATATCAACTTCATTTAAGTAGAATTGTTGTATATTTTAGCATTCCTATTTACTAATCTATCTGACATAAACACTTTTAAATATGATTTGCTTTTAAAGAAATTCTTGACAAATATAAAATTTTGATAGATTTTTTTGAATAGGAATTTTTTTTCCTTGTAAAAAAAACTATGTTGTGAATAATGAAAATTATTTCATCTTTGATTTTTCGATTAGATTTTCAGTATTGATAAAAAAATTTCCTTGAGACTGAAATACTCTCTAAATGGTTATTCTCGATATGTTATTGAATGATGAAAATAGCAATTATTTTTCTTTTGTAAGATTTTAACTTGACTTGTAATGTTGAAAAAAAAGAAACAACATAACAATTACATTTTATCAATGATTGAAAATAAAGAAGAAACTGTTTTTCTTTTAGATATAAACAAAAGAAAATTAAAAGAATATTCATTCAATGGTGACTTTATTCGAAAATCCTCATGAATCGCCTTTGGCGATGTTTTTACTGCAAGTATTTATCACATTGATTGTGTGTAAATTTCTTGCTAAATTATTATCGTTTATTCGTCAACCGCAAGTTATTGGACAAATTATTGCCGGTATTATTTTTGGTCCATCAATTCTTGGTAAATAAAACAAATACATTAATCATTATTTTTTGTAATGTCAACAAACGATATTGTTTTAGGTTATGCTACGGGTTGGACTGATGCTATTTGGCCAGCATCGACTCTACAAGTTTTTCAATTAATAGCCAATTTGGGTTTAATCTTTTTTATGTTTTTTCTTGGACTTGAACTCGATTTGAATCAAATTAAAGCAAATTGGAAAGTAACTATACCAGTTGCTTGTGCAAGTATAATATTTCCTGGTCTGTATACTACTTTAGTAATGTCATTTTTATTTAATATGAATATTATTAATTTTAGTGGGTATTGGATGTTTGGTAGCTTTGTGGTTCTATCAATTGAATGATGGAATAGACACAAGTAAAACAGCCTTTATTCTATTCATTGGTAAGAAAATAAGTTACAAAATAATTTTTCTTTTTAATTTAAATTATTTTCTTTTCAAGCTTCTGGTTTTGGATTTTCGGCATTTCCTGTGTTAGCTACATTACTAAATTCAATGAATTTACTTAATGAACCAATTGGTATTCAAACAATATCTTTAGCTGCGGTAGAAGATATTGTTGTTTGGGTAGTTTTAGCTGTAGCTAGTGCTTTTTCATTGGGTGGTTCAGCTCTTCAAGGTCTTTACACTTTGTTACTTACATTAGCCTTCATTTTGATTATGGTTTTTATTATTCGACCGATTTTTAATTTAATACATGGTTATTATGTACGCCAAGAAAATGATTGCAATGTTTATATTGTTGTTGGCTGCTTTTTACTACTTCTTATTGCATCATTTACAACTGAAGTAATGGGTAAATATATTAATAAATATCTGATAAACAAAAGGATTGTTTTTTTATTTTTGATAAATTTATTTGATTAGGTATTCATGCATTTTTTGGTGCATTTATTGCTGGTCTTTGTATTCCACGAAGAGGTGAATTAGTCGAATTTTTATCTATACGTATTGAATTGATTATTGTTGAATTTTTCTTACCGTAAGTAAATCTTTAAAAATGAAGCACACATGATAAATGATGAAAAATTGTATTTTGTCAATTTTAGTCTTTACTTTGCTAATAGTGGTTTAAAAACACGTTTAGATCTTTTGAATACAGGTCGAGCATGGTGGACATTAATTATTCTTCTAGTTTTGGCTTCTGTAGCAAAAATAGTTCCAGTAACATTAGCAACAAAATTATGCACACGAAAATCATGGAATTATTGTGCATCAATGGGAGTTTTAATGAATACTCGTGGTATAGTTCAATTAGTTGTTTTAAATATTGGGGTACAACTTAAAGTTATTTCACCTGTAATTTTTGCAATGTTTGTTTTAATGGCAACTATTTTAACATTTCTTACGTCACCTATTTTATATCTTCTCTATCAACGTAATGCTGCTTCAAAACTTTTAGATGATTCGACTACTACAAATGATCTTAATTTGGCAGAACAAGGAGAAACGAATCTTGAAAAAACTAAACAAGATATTGCTACAATTTCTGCAGGCGAACTTGGAATAGTATCACAAGGTGATATACCAAATGAACCAATGAAAATAAATACAAGAACTTCAAGTTCGAAGAGTTGTCAAATATCATTAAGTCATCGTCATAGTTCTTCACGAATTTCGCACGATGTTGAAGGACGTCGATCGATAACACAAGATAATGAACCTCCAAGAAGGCCAAGTCGAATGACTCTATTTTAATTATTATATGTTTATAATGAATTTTTTTTTGAACATTCGAATGCACTTATAGTTAGACTCTAGATAAATAGAACTTTTCCGTTTATTCCTGCCTAATATTTCAAACAAAGTATTTTCTTCATCATTTCGTTGTATTTTATTTAAGAAATCAGAAACCATTGTCCTCTGATTCCATTCACTGTATATATACAGAATGGATATGCGGATAAAAATGTTTTTAGCCGTTATGTGTATATTGAATAACAATATTTCTCTGTAAAATTCATATTTTGTTGTATTTTTTTCTGATTGATATAAAGAAAAATAATGTTTTCACAAAAAAAAGAAACTTCCTCAAACCACCATCCATAATGATAGAGAACGGGTGATCACAAGGCTACATGTTAAAACTCATTATTCAGCGCAAAAGAAAAACTTGATGCTACAAACAATTTTGCTACATCTTTAGAATGAAGTCTTTCGATGATATGAAAAACTAATTTGCTTTTCTTCTCTCGAATATTTGAACTTGAACAGTTCATTAAAATGATATGTAAATAATGCACAAGAAGAAATGATCAATTTTGACTATCATATTGATATATACAATATTATAAGTATTGATGTCTTATCAAAATATTCTAATATACTAATGGTAAACATCGTGAAAAAATATAGTATTTGATGACTCTTGTATATTATTTACACGATAGATGAGATTCACAATACCAGTAAGTTTTTTCATCAATTTGACGGATGTTTCTCAACTATTTTAACAGAAATTTTCGATCATCAATGTCACATTCGAGTTCATCATCATGTGCTCTTAGTGTTTTAATGATAGTAGCAATAACAACGTCAATTTTGCTGTTTTCGGCCGTTCCAAAAATAATGCAGACGGGTCTCTCAATCATGTTCACAGTGCTTATCAAAACAAGATCAAACCTTCATTACAGTTTTTGACTTGAGTGCTAATCAACATCTCGATCTACTAGTGTCAAATACAACATTATGGTCCCTAATACAGAAATGTTTTTTCGTCAACGAGAGTTTTTGCACTAATCATCTGTCCGTGGATACTCACTCATTGGTGTTTTTCTCTTTTCATCGCTATCCATTTCTCGAGAAGCACCAGATGACTAAAAAGTACGAGAGAAAAGCATTATTCTTTCCTATAACGATTTGAACAAAAAATGAACTACTGAAAAAAAAATAAACAATTTGGTATTTCAATCTATTGCGGAATCACTTCTATACAATATTCATCTAAGATGTTTGAAAAGGAACGTTCAAACCGAGTAAATCTTTTCATAGATCAAATACCATCATGATACTATAGATTACTGTAGTTCATCTAGAGCAAATAAGAAGAACGACAATGCAACTGATACACATTTCAAAGAATAATTCTCGAAAAATTGTTGAAACTATATACTCTCAGATTACCATCGATGGTGTGATGTTTCTGATAGAACCTGTATTGCTACTGTTGTTGATTTTGCCTGCTTGTAAATTACTCAATGAGAAGTAACATTAGTTTTGAACGATTACAATCCTGACTGGAGAATTCGCACCGATCGAACTCTACTAAGGATAATATTTTGAATCTAGCAATAATCTTGAAAGAAAATCCATTCTGTCCTATAAAATGCGATCTGCTTGAAAAGCGGTTTCGCAATGAACATTAACTGAATTTTTTCATTTTCTGAAATTAGCACGATTATCGGGTCACCTATGAAAATATATTCGTGGCAGCGAAAATATTCATGACTCGCAATATCTCAATCGTATTGTACTCTTCAACACAACAGTCAAACACACTCAAAAATATTAATAATAGTTTCATCATCTTAAAAATGTGTGAAAGTGAAGAAAATGATGATCATTGAAGTGCGTATGTAACATCTATTTAATAAATAATATTCTTTTTCAATCTTTCTTCTGTTGCCTAACTCTCTCCAGTGTTGTAAATAACTATCGGAAATAAAAGCACTGAGTGTATATATTTTTGTTTTTCTAATTAAAAATACTTCCCAAGCGTTATTTAACTAACACAAGTAAACATTTAACATTTGCCGAGCGTTTTGCTATATCAACAACAGTATATTCGTTGCATGAAATAGGCATAACACTTTCTTTCATTTTTCTCACACAAGCTAAAGAGTACAGAGAGTTGATGTCGATTATTATTATAAGAATTGTTTTTCAAAGTGTTCTAATGTGTTTCTCTTTACACTAGCAACTTTGGTTATTATTTTAATTCAATAGATAAGAAGACATGCATTCATGATCAAATAGAGAAAATCTCGAGTTCAGTTTATAATAAATTTGTGTGGACATTGTGATACGAATTCTTGATTTTAACATCAAAGGATCGTTTATAAACAAGTCTTACTATTCATCGACATCTCGAAGATGATGGCCGATCAAATGTCAATCTTTTATTTTTTTTTCGATTGAGTGCAATCAAAAAATTATTCATTACATCTGAACGCTTTGTTACGTTGAAGATGTGAAATGCTAACCGAAGGATGAATTTGAATATCATTTCGAAGTCAGCTATATTTATTTTTTTTTTTCTCTAGATTAAGTAAAACAGTAAGGAATAGTGATTATCCATGTAAAATTACAAAGACATTTAACGAATTTATTGTGCAAGTTTGCGCTAAATAGCATTTTAAGACGGCTTCATTAGAAAAATATGATTAAATTCGTTGAATCTTTAGTAATAGTTAAAACTTTAACTATTTAAACATTTAACTTGCTTTAATGAAATTCATATAATTATTCGTCGTTAATTATACTAATCATTTTCATCCGTGAAATATTTGTCACCTTCGATGTCTTCTACTTGTTAATGTACTTTAAACGAAATTTATTTTCAAAAGCTCATATCTACCAAATATAAAGTGCATTACTGATCTAGATCAATCAAGATATCAAAGCGTTTTCTCATCAACTAAAACATAAGATTGCTTTAGAGAAATCTTAAATTTATTTTATTCGCAAGGGAAATGCTGTGCGTTCCTTCATTTTTTATATAAAAACCTCTTTTAATATCAGTTTTATATATAGATGAATGTAATTCTTAAATATTCTACATTTCCTCCATTTCTAACATTCTAATATTTCTACTTGGATTATATATTGCCTGTATAAATCTGTAGAAAAATAATTCACATTTCTTGCTATCATTTATAAATTATTATTATAAAGGATGACTAGTTTTGAAAATATCTTAGAATTAGAGATCGATCTTAATATAATTACTATTAGAAAATTTAATTTAATTTGATTTTCTATATTATTTATATCCCATTGCAGATGAGAAATACAGAACAGAGTTTGAGAGATCCTTGTTTTTTTCTTTTTTCTATTTGTACAGATCTAGAATATTAGAAAACAATAAATATGTATCCCATCATTATCGAGTAATATATCGTTAGAATTCTTCATTATATTAAGAAAGTTCTAAAATAAGATCAAACGATGAAAAGGTGTCGTTTGTGGATTAAAATAAGTCGAGTTGCTTTTAACCTAATTTAATCAACCTAAATTCTTGTGTCATCTATTACTGAATTTGATTTGTAATATAGTATACATAACTGTGTTATAAGTTTACTCAAAAAAAAAAAAAGTATAATTAACTGCTTTATTCGAATAATTCTTGACTAAGAACAAATTAATTATTAAAATAGAAAAAATCGAAGAGATATTGAGAAACAACAAAAATATGATTATATAATTGAGTAAACGAACAATCATTTTTTTTTGTCAAACTTTAACTTATTTTTTTTATTTAGTCTGACTTGAAAGTTTTAGTAGTAGTTCATTATATAGTTGAACTGAGTTGACTTTTTCGCTCATAGACTTTATATCTAATATGAAAAACATGGTTTATTCATCGCTTTTAAATACGTAAACTAATATTATGACTTGAGAGAAAAACTGATATTATGTCTAGGCTCACGAACTTTGCATCACTGTGGAACACAACATCATCAACCAATGATCAATGGAAACAACGTCAGTTTCTGTCACGTACGTCTTTACAATGCTTATTATCTCAAATCTCTCGCTATTTTTCTGTGCAGAACTGGAAAAACCAAACGAAAACTACTGATTATCTTCGGTTCACTGTTCATTGTTGCAATAATTGTTGTAGTAATACTCTTGGCTCTAAGAAAAAATAGTCGTGAGTACAACAAGAGTCTTCTCGAGTATGTGTATGTATGCATGTATTTTATTGAACGCCGAAGTGAAATAATATCGAGATGATAGTGTACAGGTCATTCCATTTATTTTGAAACAAATTAGAAAGCTTTTCATTTTCTTATCTTGAAAAGTTTGTTGCAATAAATGTTCAATATGTGTTCCATGAACATAGTAAATTAATCTACGATGCTTTGCCCAATTCTCTAAAGCGTCGTCGATTTTATGGAGCTCAAGATTTTCACACTACAATTTTACAACATTTTTCAAGCTNTACAAGATCATATCAACAACCAATTAGAGATCGTACACTTGAGTATTATATCATTATTTTGCGGAACGATTGAAAATTCACATGAAAAAATATATTGCTTTAACTAGATGTATTAATTTGAGGTTTCTTCTGTAATCAAAAAATTATTCGACATATTCTCAATTTATTTCAGTATTAGTTGTGACTCATAATTTTATATGAATAAAATTTTTCTTTTATTTAGTTGATTATTCATGGAAAGAAAACTTATTCAAGAAAATATAATGAAGTTCTGCTCGACTATTTTCAGAATTGTATCGTCATAAAACACTATCTTTGATTTTTCTTTTTTTGTGTCCACTACAAGTGTTTATTATTTGAAAAAAAATATTTTCTTAGTTCATTTTTTGTTTATATTTGTCAATAGTTTATTTTTAATTTCATTGTTCGAAGATTTTTTTTTCAATCTTTTATAGTTGTAGAATATTGAACACTAATTTTATCTTTCAATGGTAGTTAAAACTTTTGTTGTCAACTTCATTCAGTTATCTAATACGAAACCAAAAGAATAAAAAGTTGTTTGATGTAACATAGTATATATACAAATTCAAACAGAAATGAGAGTAAATATTTTTACAAATTAAAATAGATTGTATAAATATATGAAAGAATTCATTGGCTATCAAAATTCTTTTTTTTTTTTATCAAGTTTCAATAATTTAAAATAGTTTTTCATTACATTTTCTTTCTAATCAACATATGTGAATTATTTCAAGTTTAATGTGTTTAATTCATTATCTTGATCTTGTCTGTTATAAGGTTCGTTCATTTCGAAGCAATTATTAAATATCGAATCATGAATATATATTGACTACAAATACAATAGTTTATCTATTTATTTTAGCAAAATATTAAGTATTTTAATAAGTGAACAAGTTATTATGTCGATAGAAAGAAACAATACATATATAGACGAATATTGAAAAGGAAATATAATGAAATCATACCAAAATGTTGAATGAAAATCATTTAATTGCATTCATTATTTTATTTTTTCTTAACAATTTGACATGGAATAAGATTTGTAAGAATATAATTAAGAAGACGATTTGATTCTTGTATGGACTCTGACCAACTCATTGTATATTCTTTTGTATCTTCATTATCAAATTTAATACCATTTTGTATAGCCATTAAATATCGAAATGATTCATTGTCAAAAAAGAATGTATTTGTTCGAGTAAAAGGAATATCATTCATTGAAAGCGAACTAAACATATTTCTTAATAGTGGTGCTGTATTTCCTGGCATGGAAAAAGTGATAAGAGCATTAGTAAAACAAAAAATAATATTATTTCGAGCGTTTGAACCTAAACGATTCAATAATTGACCAAAACACGATTGAAAACTATTCATTAGTCGTGATGCATCTGGTTGAAGAAGAAAACATATAGCATTTAGATGTGTTAAATTATTAACATATTCTAAAATATGTTTTATTGTATTGGAATTAGTTTGATCAAAATTTTGTGTATCTTCAAAACTAGGCGTATCGATAAGACATAATTTTTTCTTATTATTTTGATTAAGATCGAATGTATAAGTTTTACACCGTGGTGTTATTAATTCATTATCATTATCGAAATCTCCGTATTTGATTGTCCTTTGTTGAAATGTATCATCCGTCAACATAACAAACGAAAGAGGTTTCAACACAACAGGACGATTTGATTGAGCCTGTTCGACTGTTTTGAATGTAAGATAATTAACAAAAGCATTAATGAAAGTTGATTTGCCAACACCTTTTTCACCAAGAAGAAGAATGTTAATAAATGAAAGTTTCATATAATCATCATCTGATATTATTGTTGGTGGAATTCGAATAAGAGAAAAGGGAGGTTGAGTTTCTTGAATATGAATAATATGAAGTTCATTGCCAGTATTGAGCGACGAACTAACTTTAAATTGTCGAGCAGGATACAATAAAACTTCTTTTTCTTCTGGATAAAATGAATGTCGACTGATATCTTTAGCTGAATTAAATATCGTATTACATATTATATTAAATATAGTTCTTTTTCCAGTTTTACCAATATGATTTTCGAGAATTCCAAGAGATGATGTACATGATGAAAAACCCCACCATACAAAATCATTTTCTTCGCGATAGCTTGAAGAAAAATCCATTTTAACTCCTCGATAAATAACTGAATGTACACTTGGTGGAAGTTTTGAAAGAGCATGCATAAAAAGTCGAAGATACGAAAACCATGGTTTTAATTGATGTCGATTTCGAGAACGAAGTTTTTCATTGAGAATTGTATAAAATGATTTGTCTGGAGGTGACCATTCTAAAGTGTAGAGCATAATAGAACTTGATTCATCCTTTGATAAACCGTCTTCTGGTTCAATTACATTGGCTTTAACCGTATAAACCATCTGCTTAATGTTTGGTACATCAGATTCAAGTGGTTGTACAGCATCTTCGAGTGAAACTAAAAGTTGGTCTTCGAATCCTTGTATAGGTGGAAGCATTTTGTGCGGTTCGGATATAAAATCAGAAAATCTAGATATGTTATCAGGTATGTCATTAAATTTTGTAGCCATTTTTCAACAATAATCGATGAAATTCTATTAAAGAAAATATTTATCAATTATAAGAGACTATATTCTTCTATCTATACTCACAAATTATACTTATCAATTTTTAATTCATATAAGACTCGATTACAAATGCTTTTGAATTACAATCTGGCAAGCAGAATATTTCTTTATATTATCTAAAAATAAAAAAAAATTTTAATGCTTGTCAATTGTATTGAAAATAATTATTATTCGCACTGCTCTGTAATGAGCTGTAATATGTTTGATGAAGGTTTACAAAAATGAAAATAATGCTTCAAAAGAGTTGCTAAATTCATGATGTTTAATAACTGTGTGATCTCTTTCATATCTACTTACGCTTTTTTTTACTTTTTTCATGATGGATAAAAATCAAAAATGACGGGTTTTATATTTACTTTTCTTGTTTTCAGGTGTATGAAGGTGACAGAACACTGCTCTGTTGTATTGTCTCTTTTACTTTCGGCGATAAAAAAAAGGAAAACATAAAGCATAATGTAAAAAAACAGGTGTAAAATTGTGCGATGAAAGAAAAAAATTGACTATTATTAATACTGGCTCATTTTTTGTAAAATCCAGCCTGTAAAAATAGTGAATCCCTAATTGTTTTCAACGATTTCTTGCAAATAGCAAAAGGATAATAATGAACTGCTGACGTCATCAATATTTTCGCAAATATCTCTTTGCAAATTTTGAATAGAAGATATTCCTGCAAATTTTCTATTCGTTCAAAGTATATTATCCAAATTTGACATGCAAACAAAAAAGATTAGAAAACAAATAATTTATTAATCAAGTTTTTTCGAAGAAAATAAATTAAAATAGCTTTTTTGTAATGTTGATTTCTTTGTATGATATATGGAAAGAAAAGAAAAAAAAATAGTGCCCCGGGTGAGGATCGAACTCACGGCCTTCAGATTATGAGACTGACGCTCTACCGACTGAGCCACCGCGGCGGCGGATGACTGTTATCGCTACGAAATCACAGACAATATCCATTATTAAGAAGAAAAAATGTACATCAGAAAAAGCACTTTATCAGTCGTTGCCTTACAGTGAAGATAAGAGAAAAAAATAACATTTAGTTAAAAAAACATAAGGCAAAGATCTCAATATTCGAAATCGATACATATGTAATATCAGACACGATATAATGTTAAACTTTCTTGAATAATTCAAAATGAATTACAAAAGGATCATCATCTTTATCATTTTATTTTAAGACAGAAAAATAAGGTGATCTAATTTATGTTTATTGAATCAAATTATTGTATTCTACAATACTGTTTTTGTTATTGTATAACACAGAAATGATATATCTTTTTGTCTGAGTTTTCTATTGTGGTAGTAATATGTTTACTTGATTCCAAACAGTAAACAGCATATTGACAGACAAGTTTTCTTTTTACTCTTGTATTTTTCTCAAGTCTTATTTTACTGGTTTGAGTGTGTGTGTGTGTTTGTGTAGATGGGGGTGTAGGCAAGTCTAATTGTACGTATGAGTGTGGATTGGCGTTGTTGTATGGTTGTGTGATTCTGGTAATACCGTGCACCCACATCCACACCCACATTCACACTCCATTGGTTCTTGGATCATCTATGTAGTTACCAGAAAAATAGAGCTCGAATTCAAGTTGCTCGTGCTAGAAAATCTACTATCGATTTTAATAGAGACGTGAAATATCATTTCTGTAACTGACAAACGGAGTTTTAATTTTCGATTTATCGCCCTAGTCAAACATCTTGTAAGCAAGATCTTGGACAAGATCTTAGGTACAGAAAAGTGAACAGATCTTGGAAATTTAGGTACAAGATAATGTGATTATCTTGTGTCAAGATCTTGAATTAGATCTTCATGATACATTTTGAAAGCGCAGTTCGAACCTATCATATAGCGCATTTATTATTTTTTTCTGTAAAAGCATGTTATGAAATTTTTTCAATTTATTTCCATTTTAATTAGTTCTATTCCAGATAACTGAAGTAAGCCGGATTGTGGAACCTGCCTGATCCTGAAATGGCTCGATCTCCATCAGACTGCTTCAGGGTAGTCCTCTCTCGATCATCGATCGAGATCAGCATTTTCTCGAATGATTAATAATCGAGAATGAGTTTAGAAAAAAAAATATTTTGAAAATGTGTGTTTCGTACGTTCCATCATGTTGTTTATATACGGCTCTGTATGCATAAAAAAAACGGTGAATGACTAGTCAGCATGTAACCAACGCACTAATGATGNACTACTTAGGAATATTTTTCGGCCAAATCTATTTTCTATCGATGATCAATATAACTAGAAGAAAAAACTTGAAAAAAAAAACTTTTTCCAAAATAGTGGTTGGTTTCCCATGGATTCACCCATAATATCAGAAATTCAATTTTGAAGAAGCTTTTATTTATTATTTTTTTAAATATAGTTATAATCTTTGAGCATTTTTTCACATGCACGTAGGAAGAAGAAAAACAATTATCATACTTCATTGAATGAAGAAAAAGCTTATAGATTTCTAAAAGTTGCTCGTTTATCTTTCACGATAAAACTATCAAACATTGAATAAAAGAAAAAAGAAACAATACGGTAGTATTTCAAGGAAGAAAAAAATTGCTTTTTATTCTCTGAAAGAAAAATCCTTTAACACATAGCAGTTATATTTCATCAATGTTCGATTCGGACAAAAGATACTTGTATTGTGTGCAAAAACTTGGAAACAATAGACAATGCAATTTATCTCATGTTTATTCTTTGCATAGTTGATTTCGTGTTTCTACGGAGATTTTCGGAAATGTATCTTAAATAATCAATCGGAATCATGGTACAAAAAATGTTGTTTCCACAATAAAGTATAAATCTTGTCTTAGATTAATTCGTCAAAAGAAACTAATTGTTTTGTATGTCGAAGTTTAAAAAGAAACAATTGCTAAAATGTTGATTATCATTATTATTTTTTGTATTCATGCGATTCAATTGTTCAATTTTGATGTTAGTTCAGTATGAATTATTCACCATATGATCTATCGTATTTTCGATATGTTGTGTTCTCTACTAACAATACATCTTGAAAGGTAGAGTTAAGGAATGAAGTAATATTTCTAGAAGTAAATTTTAATGTTGCTGTAAAATACCACGTGAGCCCTTTTACAGCTTGTCTTATGATTTTTATCAAAAAAAAAAAAAGAAGGAGAATGAATGTAGTAAAGCATTTTCGCTTTTCTTTCATGCAAATAAAAACGAAAAGTATAGCCATTTTCTTTTCTATTATTAAATGGGTAAAAGAGGAATTAGAAATGAGAATGATGACGTTCTGAGTAAATATGCTTTACTAAGGCTTTCGAATAATTTTTTTCATTTTTGGACAACCTTTTTCATCAAGTTTGCAGTCGGAATAATATTTTATTTATCTTGAGTTATTGTTCCACTCGTGTGATCGTTTATTAGTGTTTACATTCAAAATGCAGACAATTAAAATTCTAGTTCTCACATGTTGATGATTGCCGAATCAATTGAAAAAAAAACATTGAAAATCAATCGAATTTAGGCATGTCATTCTGGACTGGGAAGTCTCTGAATTTTTCTCTACAGAAAAGAAAAAGAACTTGATCTGAAGCCATCCTAATAATTCAAGGACTTTCCAATCGATATGCTTTCTCATGGATGCATCAATATTTAATAGGCAGTATTTGTAAAAACAATCTTTCAATCTCTGAAAGAGGTCATGGACTATATTTTCTATCGAATAAAATTTGTGTGTTCACTATCTATGCATTAGTCTATGATTAGACGAATCTTATTGAAACTATCTTGAAACAGTACTGAAAAACAAAACAAGTATTTATGGATGTGTTGATTGCAAATACAGTTTTGTTGTGCATATTTAATTTTGTTTTCTTATATTTTCGAAGTTTAATAATAACAATAGAAATCCATTCTAAATCGTTGTTGTTAATTGATGTATTTTGATTATGAATATGATAAAATGAATAAACTCATCTAAACTGATGCTAACAAGAGAAATATTTTTTAAATAATTTCTTGGTTTTATTTTAGAAAATCTAGATTCCTTTTTTCATTAATGATATTGTGTTATTATGCGACATGACTACCAATATACAAGCTGCTATACAATTTTATATGCAAATTTCTGACGTTGTTGACGAGCCAGATAGTTGGCGTTTTCCTTTTGAAGATTATGAAAAATAACCTCTCGTGGAACTTGAAGAAGCAGTGAACCCCCTTACTTCTATGCTATCTACTATTCAACAATATGCAAATGCTGCTAAAGAACGATGCAAACCTGTACCTACTAATGGTCTTACACGAGATGAATCGGCTTCCATCATCCTGCATTCAATGGTATGGGAACCACAAAAACAATGTTTATATTTCGCTTAAAATCATGCTCTTCGTACCGAAGAAAGACAAAAAATTGAAATCATGGTTTCGTTTTTTGAAATTGATACTTACTGCACTGGCTAAACTTCCATCGATCCGTCAAACGATATATCGAGGAGTAAAACATGGACTTAAGTTCACAATATTAAGAACGAGATATATTCGTTTAGTGGAATTTCTCTCTGTGTACATCAGACATGCAAGTATTAGAGAATTGAACGATTTCTTGGTCAGACACATACAAGAACTATATTTAACATTGAGTGTGATAGTGGCAAAGATATTACACAACACTGTTATCATCAATCTGAACAACAAATTATGTTTTTTCCTGCTCGACACTTAAGAAGAAGTCGTCTGGTCTTCACAAAATTTACTTGAAAGAAATTCCATCCCCTTTGTTTTTTCTTCAGTCGGCGCATGTTTCATCTTCCTCAAACAACGATTTTGCTGGTAAGACAACGAAAAATTCTTCAATTTTTCAGATTTTGATTCCATTTTACAAAAATAAAATCTAATTATCAGTCAAACACATAAAAATATTTTAAAAGAAACACTTTTTCATCAATTTTTACTTAATTTCTCTGTCTGTAGAACATTACAGAGATGCAATCGGTACTAAGCCAGATTTCAGATCGGTTGGTCACCGATAGACCGGTCATTACCAATATATATCGTATTTATTTTTTTCGCTCTTATTATCTCCTAGATGATGTGTAATGAAAGTTAACTAGGTCAAATATCACTATCTACAGATGGAATAGTACAATAACTTATCAGTCCAGCATTGGTATGAATTTTAGATCGGAACTGGTGTGAGTCATGAAAAATTCAGATCGATTCCATTTTTGGTACATTAAAAAAGACATTGTAAGAAAAGATACAAGTACAAGATATTTTATTGAGAGAGAAGTCGTATGAGAAGAAGTATCACTTCATGAATGATATTCAATTTCTTTGTTTTTCAATAAATTCTCATCATATTTATTATAAAATACTTCAATCAACTTCATAAGTTGACCTTTATTAAGAGTTTAATCAAGATTATTTTATGTTGAACAACAATTAATAGATGAAATTAAAGAACATTTGAATACTCCCGATCTAGTAACCAAAGAATATTCAAGTTAAAAATTAGACTTTTTCTCCAAAAGAGATTTACTTTTGTAGGAGTTTTATTTTTATTATCTGAAGAACTCTTTCCATCTTCAAATTTTTTTAGCTCGTTCTATGACTACACATATTGGTATGGGTGTGCGTTTCATAGACGTGTCCAATAATGTCGGTTTGACAAGAGTTAATTGATCAAAAAGTGCACCAGCTTGGCGCCAAGCGATACCTGGTATTTGTCTCGAAGAAAAGTATACAACAAAGAGCTGTACTGCGTATTCAATACAAGTCATAATCGGTATCGGACTGTGTAAATTTGATCTTATATTGGATTCTAATGCTAGTACTTGTCAATGTCCTATATGTCATCAATATGTCGAACCAATAATATGTAGTTTCAACAAATGTGACTGGCGTTGGTCAGATATAAAATAATTGCCAAGTAAATCACGCGAAAAAAGTTCATCTAGTAATGAATGGAATTATGTTGATGATGCTTATCATTATTTTGACGAATCTATTAGTGATCAAATGGTTTAGCATAAATTGTTATTCGAAGCGAGGAAACATCGGTAGATGATATAAAATGAAGAAATATTAAATTCAATACTGTTTTTTTTTTTGTTGAATATTATTAAGACTTGCACAATCCTTATTTTAATATATTGAGCAGAAATAAAGAAAAAATAAATATAATTCAAATATACATCAATGTCCTGTCGATGTTTCATCGCTTTTTCGGGCATGCTAAGTTTTTTCTAGTTATAAGCTATTATAAACTTAACAAATTTTGGATATTACAATGCTTTCTAATTTCTATTTGTTTTGTTTTTTGTCTATGCACAGCGAGATAAAATGATATGACAATCAAATAATTTTATTGACATTTTATAAGCCAAAAGCATACGTCTCTGTGTATATAGACTTTCTCTGTGAGATGTTGGTTCGAATGAAAAAAAAACAATGAAATAACATCAAAAATGATAAATTTATTTTAGATTTATTTCTAATATGATTTCATTGAAAATTAAAGTAAAATCTTTAAAATATTATGATAAGAAAAAAAAATGCACTTTGAAAAATACAGTAAACATGTTCTTTTATTTTGTGCAATATATGATTGTATGTCTAATTTATCCGCTATGACAGAGTATTTCACGGCCAATTCCTTTTAAGATTAATGCTCGAAATTCATCATAATTTAAACTGTCTTCAATATTCGTATAAACTTGGTTGATATAACTTTTCAACATGTCACTTGTTGCAGATTCATTAATAACCGGTAAAAAAATACTTAATTCATTAACATGAATAGAACCAGAACCATCTTTATCTAAAATTGAAAATGCTTGTTCCAATTCATTTCTACCATAAAATCCCATCATAAATGGACGTAAAACATGAACAAAATTATCAAACGATAATGCACCTGGTGTTCTACGAATTAGACTATCGTAATGTGCACGTGTTATATTAGCAGCATATGTTCGACTACGACGTTCTTGTTTGGTGCTTACACCACGTTTAACATTTTCTATTGTAATTTCTTCGAATTCATAATTAATTTCCATGACTGAATCAGAAAGTGTTGTTATAGTTTCTGTTACCGTGTATTCAAGATCCATTATTCAAAAATTTCTTTGAAATAAAACTCTAAAACAAATCAAATCAATAAATAATACGTATGAAAAGAATACTATTTTTTTTTAAAAATTATAATGATGTTTCGAACAGAACACATTTGACTTTGATAGACAATATAAACAAAAATAAATTTTGATCTTTTCTTAGATTTATATGTATCGATTGGATTGGTCAAATAATATAAAATAAAAAAATACTCAGTGTGTACAAAAATTTTTTCATTCTAATTAAAGAAATATATTCATTATATCTAAAAGAAAATTACATTAGAAAATCGAACATTAATGATTTCAATGTGTATAAATTTTGAAATATTTAAAAAACAAAATCCAACAGACTTATCTTATGTCTCGCGGTTTACCAACAAACCAAAAAATATCTGAGTTGTGTTTTATCATTTTTGTCTTCATTACAACACTTTTTATGTGGTTATTTTTTTCTATTTTCTTATCTTTATTTGATGAAAATTTACCATGTTTGTTCGTAGTTCCGATTTATTTTTATTCTTTTTCTTCCACATTAAAACATCAACTGACTGTCTCATAGTTGTTAATTTCGAGAGAAAAAATAGAGTCCGAAATATCATATGCGTACTATTGCATGTAAGTACTCTCCACGGTAAGCATACAGTCATATCTTCAAAGATTTTTTTTTCTCGTCAAGTCAACTATGTCATTAAGACGAATAGTCAAAGTCGTTTTTCATTTGCTGTCTACTTGGTAAGCAAGATAAGAGGTGTACTTATCAGTTTTTCTTTTCTATTTTTTTTTGAAATTATCTACCACAAAAAAAAAAGGCGAGCGAAACCCTTGTCTTTATTTTATCTTATATGAAAACAATAACAATCTTAGGGTTTATTATCCTTGAGAAAAAAATAATATTTTCACATTTGTGGATAATTTTTTCCTTGAGTTTTGTTTGACTAAATATTTACACACTTGTTGTGTGTATGATAATTTAAAAGAAACAACAATTCATCGGCTATCAAAAAGAAATGAAAAGATCTCTTTAGTATGGCTCCATTTTAATTATCGTTACAATATATAAGATGAAGACAATACAAACTTCAAGTAAAGTTTTTTTTTTACGTCATTTAATAGAGCGTGAGGTGCTGATCACGAAAATCAGATCTTTTTCGAAAGATATAAAATTTTCTGTTTTGCTCTTTTTTCCAGTTTCTGAAAATAATTTTTTCAGATTTAGCATAAAAAACTGAGTACAACACCAGTTACCTTTCATTTTTTGGTAAAAATTTGAGCCATATCTTCATCTGAAAAAAAAACTGAAGTCAACAGAAGAGGTTAAACTACATATCGATTGATTCAGTTTTTTGCGTTGATTCCGAATATAATAAAATTATTGTATGAAATCCTAGTTTTCATGAAGATATACGAGCTGAATTCTATCTCTTAAACCCAAAATTCAGAAAAACTTATTTTTCTCAACAACAAAAAAATACGATGCATACGTTTGTGTCTGGTGGTATGATGAGTTAAATGAGATAAAATATTTGACCTCATCACTTACGTAGAAAAAACTCGATAGGCTAATGAAATCGACTTATATGCATGCATTGCACTCGGGGCAATTTGAAGCTTCATCATAAAAAGAATTTCGCAGTTAGAGGTGATTTAGCGACTTGTTTGTACTCAGTTTTTTATGCTGAAACTGAAAAGAAGAGTGAAGTAGAAAAATTTTGAAAATCATGTGTTTTTCGTGATCAGCACTTCACGTTCTATCAAATGACATGAAAAAAAGACGAAAAATAAAGTTTTACTTGAAATTCGCATTGCCGGTACCTCACAAAAATGAATGATTGCTACGTCGTCGTAACAAGATTTCTCAGTTTTGAATTATTTGTGTCTAGCAACTCTCATTCAAAAACAGGTTTTTTCAAATCAGATACATCTACTAGATATATCAAAGTGTACATATACAAAAATATTTCTGTATAATAAAATCAATCAGTTTTGTTTGTCAGATTCAAAAGATAAAACGATACTATGCGAATACTTCCATGTTTTAATTAATTTACAAGATTTTACACAGCATACGAGAAATAGATGTCTTTTTTTTTGTTTTTATAAGAAAAATGAATGCGTTTATAATGTAGAAACAATGTACCAATGCTGATAAGTGTCTATTCAAAGATAAAACTAAACAAAAACAGAAATATATGATTGTATGGATTACAAAAAAGAATTACTGAAGATTTAATTGTGACACTTTTTATTAATCAATATTGTCAACGATTTTATTTCTTTGAATATTTTGAAATAAATCATGGTGTGTTCGTCCATTATTTTAACTCGTATTCTTATCTTCTTTGTTGATTCATTAAAATATCGACATTAAGATTAACATTTTTTTCACATTTATTTATTGTTGATGTATCATGAAAAAGAGCAGATAATCGAAGTATTCAAACTTAATGATCTAGATGTCGTCGGGAGAGATCATTTTCAAAAATGCTCCAATTTCAGTATAAATACAATATGTATATATTTATTGTGGCGGCAATAGAGTCCTGCAGAACAAACAGGATTCGACATAATATTATAAAAATGAATATTCCGAATTTCTTCAATTTACATATCGACATGTGTCTGATATCTTAATTTCTTAGTTCTATGAAATGTCTTAATATTTAAATAAATGAAACTGCTGAAAACCAAATACTGCGATACGGTCTTGTGTTATCAGTGATCTACAGTGATGTTCCAAATTATTCATATACTCGAAGAAAAATAGCTAAATTTCTGAGATTTCCCGACCGAAAACGACTTATACTTCTTGACCTAGGATGAGTAATATTAAATCAAATTGAAATTTATGATTTTTCTTCTTTGTTACCTAGAATAAATTTTTACTTATTAATTAAGCGTAAACTTTATATATGTAGACTACAGCTATTGCTATATATTTTGTTTAAAACCGCATCCTAAATATTTGGGACCTAATGAAGATATAACGGCTGTATTATTTTCTTCGACTGTATAAATAACTTTGCACGCTACAATATATCAGACAATAACTAACTTTCATCTAATTATATGAACACAGTTATTCTATTGGTGATATTAAAAAGACTTATTCTTCTTTGACTAGGCGTCATCTTTATAAGTTATTCAGTTAACGAGATAATTCAAAAAAAAAATTTTTGGGATGGGACTTTCGATATTGGGACATGAAAAAGTTTGTCCGGCAGAATTCTAGTCAGTAATATAAGAGATACAGCTATAGAGAAATATTTCTTAAGTTAATAATCAATCGATTAAAATATTTTGTTAATTTCTTTTATGAATTCCTTTGTCTTTCATTGAACACTAATGATTTAATTAAACTTCGACATTTAAATGATACATGACTTCCAAATGTAATATACAAAATGAAGAGTGATTAGTTTTTTGTTAACTAGATAAAAATGATCTGAGTGTAGCTAAAACGAAAATTACATGTTGATCAGTAATAAGTTAAAATTTATTGTAGGGTTCAGGAGCCCTGGTTGAATGAGGTATGTCTCCGATTCAGAACCAGAGCATGCGGGGGGTCTCTTCCTCCTCCCTGTACAAGCAATACGTCT